TCCAACCATCCGTCTACCCACCCACCACCTATTCTTCACCATCTACCTATCCACCCACCCATTCCACTATCCATGTGTCCTCCATCCAACCATCCATCTACCCACCCACCACCTATCCTTCACCCATCCACCTATCTATCCGCCCACCCACTATCCATATCTCCCTCATCCAACCATCCAACTACCCACCCACCTATCTATCCTCCGCCCACCCACCCATCCATTCATCAGCCCACCTACCTATCCATCTTCTGCCCACTAATCCATCCTCCACTCACCCACTCATCCATCCACCTATCCATCCATCCATTGTTTTCTTCATATAAGATTTTTGAATATCACTGTGCCAGCTAGGTGGTAGAACCAAGGGAATGCCATGACGAAAAAGACAGATACAGATCCTGCTCCTGGGAGCAGGCAGAAGGAACACAAGCCTTAATTGTATAACCCCACCACGACCACCACAAATAGCGTGTTGCAAACTGAGATAAGTAACGCTAGTGAGAGTTTAGGGACTAATGACAAAACTGCCATGACGGTGTCTTAGGGGGATGAAGGAAGGATTCCTTTGATCTGAAGTCTTCAGGGGAAGAGGTAATGAGGAAAAGCAGGTAGAAGGACATTCTAGATCAAAGCTTCCCAAGCTGTAAGTGCTTAGGGGATCTGGTTAAATGCAGAGTCTGGCTCAGTAGGGTGGGGGCGGAGCCTGAGAGTCTGCATTTTTAACTAGCTCCCAGGTGATGCGGAGGCTACTAGTTTGTGAACCAGGGCGGGAAGGGATTTACTGGCTCTGAGAAAGACCTGGAGAAAACAATGCTCTCAGGAATAGCAAAGACGTCAAAATAAGGTTAAAACCAAACTGTGTCTCCAAGGCAAACTCTCCATCCCTCAGCTGTCCTGCTTTATCACTGTCTCTTTCTGTTTCTCTCTGTCTCTCTTTCCCTCTCTGTCTGTCTCTCTCTCTTTCTCCTCTCTGTCTATCGCGGTCTTTCTTCTCTGTCTCTCTCTTTCCCTGTTTCTCTTTCTCTTCCTCTCTTTCTGTCTGTCTCTGTCTCTCTGTCTCTGTCTCTGTCTTTCTGTTTCTCTCATTCTCCCTCTATTTCTCTCTGCCTCTCCATCCACGTCTCTCTGATGGCCTTTATCTCTCGATCCCCTCTCTTTTCTCCCATTTGCTCCTCTCTCCTTCCGTAGGTACAATTCTGGGGACAGGTTGAACTGGCAGGATGAGGACCCGAGCAAATGTCTCCTTGCTTGTTATCAGTTTCCTCCTACTAGAGTCTAAGCATGAGGCAGGAATTTTTTTTGTTTATCTGATTTGTTCACTGCTGTGTTCCCAGCATCTGGACTAGCACCGTCCAATGGAAATAAAATGCCAGCCACATATGTGGTTTTATTGCTGTGGTGGTGGGGGTGGTTAGTTGTCATTGAGTTGATTCTGACTCACAAAGACTCCATGTGTGCAGAGTAGAATTGGGCTGCACAGGGTTTTCAAGGCTGAGACCTTTTGGAAGTAAATCAGCAGGCCTGTCTTCTAAGGCGCCTCTGGATGGGTTCGAACTGCCTACCATTTGGCAATTAGTCGAATGCTTAACTGATTGCACCACACAGGGACTCCTTACATATGTGATTTTAAATTGTCCAGTAGCCACATTCAAAAAGTAAAAATGAACAGGTGAAATGAATTTTCATCATATATTTTATTTAACCCAAAGATCCAAAATAATCTCATTACAACATGAAATCAATAATAGACAAATTATTAACGAATTAGCTTACATTCTTTTGTCTGCACAGTCTTTGAAATCTGGTGTGTATTTGACACATGCAGCACATCTCAATTTGGAAGCGACATTTTCATCAGAAATATTTGACCTGTGTTTAGATTTCATAAAATTTATAGTTGGAAAAGTAGATTCGTGTATCCAAGTTGTTCCCAACATACTTAGATGCTTTCTAATAACCACATAGAGTACTGATTTTTTTAAATATATATTTAAAATAATTAAAATTAAATAAAATTCACTCCATCCAACAAGAGACTAACACACATTCTTCTCAAGTACACGTGGAACATTCTCTCGGCTAGACCATATGTGAGGCCACAAAACAAGTCCTGATATGATCAATTTAAAATGATTGAAATCAGACAAAGGATGCTCTCTGATGACAAGGGAATGAAATTAGAAATCAGTAACAGAAAGAAATTTGGGAAATTCACAAATGTGGAAACGAAACCAGTGAGTCAAAGAAGAAATCACAAAGGAAATTAGAAAATTAAATAACTAAAAATTCAGTTCCTCAGTCACACTAGATACTGCCTATAGTCCCTGGGTGGTGCAAACAGTCTGTGCTTAAAGGTTGGTGGTTTGAACTCACCCAGTGGTGTTGCGGATGAAAGGCCTGGCAACCTGCTTCCATAAAGATTGTCCTTGTTGTTGTTGTTAGTTGCCATGAAGTCAATTCCAACTCATGGTGACCCTAGAGGTACAGAGTAGAACTGCGCTCCATAGGGTTTTCAAGGCTGTGACCTTTTGGAAGCAGATTGCCAGGCCCTTCTTCTGAGGTGCCTCCGTGTGGGTTCAAACCACCAACATTTTGGCTACTGGTTGAACGCCTGTTTATGCCACTAAGGGATTCCTCCATAAAGATCACAGCCAAGTAAACCCTGTGGAGTGGCCCTAGTCTGTAACACATGGGGTCACCATGAGTCTGGAATTGACTCAGTGGCAACGGGTTTGGTTTTTATAGATACTGATTGCCACACAGTAGGTGCTCAATAAATGTTTGTTGAATGAACAGATTAATATAGAAGTCTACAGGCAGGCACATTTCACCCTACCACCCGAAACCTTGTAGTTTTACCATGTCCACATTGAGGCCCAGCCTCAATGAAAGTCCAGAATGGGGCCTTTGAAGAGCGGGAGGGGTTCACAGTCCCTCCCTGCCCCTCCAGGAAGTTTGAGAACATTTATATCGGCTGGGGCCACAAGTACAGCCCTGAAAACTTCAACCCAGCCCTGCCAGCCCCCATTCAGCAAGAGTATCCCAGCGGCCCGGAGATCATGGAGGCAACCGACCCCACGGTGGAGGAGGAGCAGGCCCTCAAGGCTGCCCAGGAACAGGCCCTGGCAGCAGCGGAGGAGGAGGAGGAGGAGGAGGAAGAAGATGAGGAGGAGGACGTAGATGACTGAGGCCCCATAGCCTCTTTCCCCGCACAAGTAGATAGATAGCAGGTTTCCCTTATACATAGTTATTTATGGATTTATTTTTTCACTGGTGGTTTTCTGTCTGCTCCTGGAGGGCAGGGGGAAAAGAGGAAGACAGCTGCTCTGAATAAAATTTCCCTATGGCTTTACAATTCATTTGTTTATTCACCACATTGTTGGCATGATGGTTGTCCCATCTGTTTCATTTATTCATTTGACCAGCCATCGAACAACTATTTAAGTGCCTCCTCTCAGCTCAGCTCTGGTAGACCAGGTAGGCAAAGCCCTGAATTCCTGAGGTTCACACTCCATTGGGAAGACAGCCGTCCCCAGACAACAAAAACCCAGATGGGGACATCAAGAGGACTGTCAGAGCTTCCGAGCTGACTCTTAAAGGGTCAAGAAAAGAGTGGGGAAAGGCATTGCAAACACAGGAAATAGCATGTGAAAAGACCCAAGGGCAAGAGAGAGTGAAAGGTGTTGGGGTAGTTGCTCAACTCTCATTTTAGGTGAGATGTAATGTGAGGGCTTGGTGGTGAGAAGTGAGGTTGGAAACAGAAGTTGGCAGGAGCCAGATCACTCAGGGCTTAACTTTGCCCCATGGACACTAGGGAGCCACAGAAGGGCTTTGAGCAGGAGAGGGCCCTGATGACATTTGTGCTTGAGAAAGACCCCACTAGATGCTAAGTGGAGGGGTGAGAAGAGAGTTTGGGAGACCAGAGACAAGGCTGATGCTGGAAGGATTGGGCAGGAGAAGAGGAGTTTGGGCAGGAATGTGGAGAGGAAGGGGCTAGGAAATAGGAATTCAGGTGGTAGAATGTAAAAAAGATTTGGGGGCTGGAGGTGGGGGATGAAGGGAAATGGTACAAGCCTAGGAGCACACCTAAATCTGTGACTGGGTGGATGGCAGGGTCAGCCCTAAAGTGGGGACACAGGGGAGGAACAGGATTTGAAGTAAGATATCAAGTTCAGTGTAGGGCTTGTTGGGAGTGAGATGCCTCTGGGACATTCCAGTTGGAAATCCAGAGGCCATGAACAAATGGGCTTGGGGAAATATGTGATGGAGTCGGAGCTTGGGTGGCTTCAGCAGAATCGAGGGGCACTGGCTATCAGTGGGGGATGTTAGGGTCAGTGCAAGACTGGATTACGAGTGGATCACGGGGACACTGGGGTATTACCGGGATCAGTGAAACTTTGGAATTGGGGTAGTTGTTGGAGGAGCCAGTGAAATTGTTGAAGATAGTGAAGTCATGGAGACATTGGAGATTGGTGGGAAATATGGATCATGTTTGGGGTTAGCATTAATCAGTAGGAGGTCAGATGAAGTCCGTGGAGATTTGTGGAGACACTAGGGGTCAGCGGGGGTTTGAGGGTCATCGAGGGTGGGAGGAATCGTTGGAGATGCTGTGGTCAGTTGGGGACTTTGGGATGTCAGTGGAGAACACACTGGCGGTCAGGAGGGTGTACGTTAGGAGTCCAAGGAGACACTAGAGTCACCTGGGGTCGGCTGGTACGTCATGGGAGGGCCGGGATACAGACGAGGCCTCCACTCGACGGATCCTCAGTTGCTATGCAAACGTTCTCAGGGCGCCGTTGCTAGGGACTTGTGCTTTCCAACTGGCCACACCCTTTTCCACGGCGGGCCCCGCCCCCGCAGCCAACCACAAATCTGTTGCAAGACGTAGCCCCGCCTACCTTTTCGCCCCGCCCACATCCCGGAACCGTTACCCGAGCGACCACAGGAGCTGATCCCGCCTTCCGACCCTGTTGCCAATCGAAGAGGCGTCGCCCGGGCGACGACCCCACCTCTTCCGGCGCGGGGCTGCGGCTTCCGGCGAGGGACCCGGCGGCGGGTGGCGGTGGGGTAGCGGCGGGGTAGCGGC